AATTAAAATAGCTCACGTGTGTTTAACACTCTTTATAAAGGCTTTTAGAGCCAGACACAGACGGCTGATCCCATCCACAAGTTTTTCCTTCTTGTGAAAAGCTATGGATATGCGAAAGAACTGTTGTCCCTTTCCCTCCTCAACAGCAAATCGTGAACCAACAATGAATGTAATCTTCTCATGCTCGAAACAGTATTCCAGAAATTCGGATGCCTTCACCTGGTCCGGCAAACGTATCCAAATAAAGTAACCGCCAGAAGGTGTTACAAATCGACAGGTGTTGGGTAGTTCAGACTTTAACACCGCGATGGCGGCCAACATCCGCTCTTTGTATGCTGCATAGAGTCTTGCAATATGCGGTTGCGCCAGTTGAAGTTCAAATAGACTGCCAACAATTCCAGCTGTGTAGTTATTGAAGCAACCACCGCTGTTAATGATCCCACTGTGACGAAGTTGCGGTTTAAGACGTGGAGGCACCTCTAGCCAGCCTACGCGCACCCCAGGTCCAATAATCTTCGAAAAGCTGCCATTGGAAATCACATGGCCGACGTAGTCTGCATCTGTGCGTGTGTCATAAGACATTAGACGCGAGTGCTGCGGTTTATTGTCATAATGAAGAATGTTGTAGACATCATCGCACACTACTAAGAAGTCGTATTTACGAGAGAGCGCCACAATTCCACGACAAACAGCTAGCATAGAAGATAAAGCGATGAGTGATTAAAGTTTTCACAATTTTATAGTTATAGTTACTTGGTGAGAACAAAATGCCAGTAGGATTGTGATATGTGGGTATCGTATAGTAAATGGCCCAAAACTCTTTGTTCTGTGATTTAAAGCGACGTTCTTTGACTTTAACCTCCAGATCGTTAAGGTCGACGCCATCGTCATTCAGCTTAAGAGGAACAATCGTAAGACTGGTGAAGTGTTTCATGCTGTCCAAGGCAATCATATACGTGTACTCATCCACAAATAAATAGCCATTAAAGTCTATCATTGTAGAAAGCAAGAAATGCAAGCCTTGACTAGCGCCAGTTGTGACTATCAGGTCTTCGCTTAAAGTGGGAATATCAATAGCTGAGCAAATCTTAAAATTTCTCATTACATACCAGTTTACGGGACTATCATACATTCCGGTCAAGTATTTGGCGATTTCGTTGCGTATTTCATAAGTGCCGTTGGTTGGTCCATATTGAAATATCAGAGACTGGTTGACCTTTTTTTCCCTTTGCTACGGATAACCAAAGGTTATTTAGAATAATGGCGAAATCTAATAATCATAAAAATAGTTTAATACTAACCAAGCAATGTGCAGTAGCCTCTTGAAAAATATCACAGCAAGGCTCTAATAGATCTGTGCCTGGAGCACCAACACCCAAATTTAATACAGTCGGTTCATATACATTCCATTCCCCGCCATCAAAAAGATGCTTAAGCTTCCGCTCCATATTCTGATCAGACATTATTTTGCGTTATCTTGAGCGCTGGCAAAACTGAACTGATCTCATATCGATAAGGAAAATCCACGAACTTTATGAGCGCCACAATATTAACCATTCCCAAGGAGACGCGTGCGTTTGACATTAACACTGTCAAAAGCATTTAGCATTCACTTATATCGGAGACATCAGCTGTTGATGTAATTGTTTTGGAAAATTCGTCAAGTAACATGGATAAGGAGCAGGCAACAACAAGCGCTAACGCCGCTCAGGCAAAGGATCAGGATCATAATCCGCTACTCGACTCACCGATGCGGGGTCCCACACTGTCGACTTCAACATCCAGCTTCGAGGCCTTAGCCCACGCCCATGACCCAAATCTTACCAAACTAGCCACGAAGATGTTCCAAAAAACAGAAGAATATATAACACACGAGCTCAATGCGCCATTAGAAGACTATAAATTGCTCGAGGAAATGAACAAGGCAACCATAGCTAAGTACAAAGACATGCGTCAAATAGCCGAAAACCTCAACGTATCCACCAACGAGCTGTGCGTCAAGTTTCAACAGCTAGCACCCCTCATGCAGCAAATTGATGAAATATCAGACACCGTGGACAAGTTGGAGGCGGCTGCTTACAAGCTGGATGCATATAGCATAGCCCTAGAGAACCGCGTTAAGTGTGTGCTGCAGCGCAAGTCAAGTCACCATGTAGGATAATAATTGCGAGTTTTTCGAAACCCATTAATAGTACATTTATTACAATAGAATTTAAGTTTTACCCAAGTAACAGTTTAAATATAATCGCTATTATGTTAAGAAATATCAGTGGAACTGTGAAATTGAAAATATAGACACGTGTTAGCTATATTCGCTTTATTTTATGCAAATAGGCAAAATTATGTACAAATACTCACTCTTGGCAACTGTGCGGATCGATCGAATAAGATTTAGGACTTGATCCTTAGCACTGGGAGCTCCGAAATCCTGTTGACCGGCTTGTCGTCCCCAGCCAACTATAAATATCATTTTTTTTGTCAGAGGTACAAATATCGTCCTGCAAATACTTACACTTGGCCAAGAAACGCTCTTCGTGCAAAATGCAAACTGCATTTAGACAAAGCAGCGAGGCCTCAATCAGTGTCCACAGTGTAAACATTTTTACAACTTATCGAAAAAAAATAAACTAAAAAATTGTTGACGTCAGTTTCAAAGCGACACTTGCCAATCACTACGAGACGCGCACAAACAGCTGATTGTGCTACTGCGACGACCAGCCTCTGTCAGTCTAAAGTTGTTTTCCAGCACTGTGTTATTTATTCTTTTCAAGAGATCCGTCAAATTGTTTACTCGTTTTTGTGTGCTCATAATTTTGAATTTTTGGGAATTATTTTTGAAATAAATCAAATCTCAACTATAATGGCCTCATTTGTAAAGGTTATTTTATTGCTGGCCTCTTTAGTCACATTCTGCTACACATTTTATGTTGTCGGAAAATTGACGCTGTTTCTCTCCAAGCCGCGATCGATTTCAAGAGCGCACATCTGGGTCTTTAATTTATTGGACAACGTCTCGCGAGTGGAAACCGCATTTGGACCTCTTGTATTCGACACTATCTATTTAATCACATTCATATTCCAGCATAGCTTCTTTAAGTCAGCAATAGTGAAGAATCTGCTGCGCAAGTTGCACTTGGCTCCAGCCGAGCGAACTATTTATACTTTGACGTCATCGCTTTGTTTACATGTATGTATACGCCATATACACCGAAATAGCCTTGAGTTCCTGTATACATAAACTTCTCTCCCTATTCGTTTAGCACCTGGTGAAGAACTGGGTGCCTGCTCAGTCGATTGTGCTCTGGCAAATCGACGTGGACGAGAGCATCCCGCTTTGGTGGACTTTTGTTATAACCCATGGTATATGTTGGGCTATCATTTACGGAGGCAGCTTCATTATGGACCTGGGAGAGCTGCTGGGCATCAAGCAGACCTATTATTATCTACATAACTACTCGGAGCCCATCACATTCAAGTCGCTTGAGCTGCGCAACCTGTACTCCCATGTTCGTCATCCATCCTTTGTAGGATTTACTCTCATTCTGTTTGCCACCAACGTGATGAGTATTGATCGCTTCCTACTCGCTGTGCTGCTCACTGCGTACATGTATGTGGCCTGGTCCTCCGATCAGACCGACGTCGCCTACCAAAAAAAACAGCTGCAGCGCAAGAAACAAGAACTAAAAGCTCATTAAGGACAAGATTAACATTCATTCTAGTGGGTCCTTTCCTGGATACCCTTTTAATTTAAGGATCATACATGTTTTAGTATCTCATCTATATATATGTGCCTAATAAACTACTAGCTCATCCGCACCACCGACGGATCAAAGGGTTGTCCTTTAAACGGGGAGCCTTCTACATCCCATGCTGTACGCAGGCGCTCTAGCGTTTTGGCATGCTCCGGATCTGTAGTCCGCATGGAATTTTGTTGTGAATCCGCTTCCATCTGTTGTACGCGAAGCTTTTCAATGGCCGCCTGCGACTCTTGGGGCAATTCATCTATGTAGCGCTCACAGTCAAGTTTTTTTATATCGATCTCATCGTCATGCTCGAAGAGCCGCTCCCACCAACGTTCCTTCACCTTGTCTAGAACAGTAACCAATTAAAGCTTGTTTCGATATTAGCTTGAAATACCTACCACAACAGATCAGCAACCGGCCATCTTCTATAGACCACATGGCTTCATTCTGTCTTATACGCTGGCTGAGCGTACCCTCGAGGATCACCTGCTCCGGTGTGCTCTTACTGCTCACCTTGATTCGCTGAGCTTTGATATCGATTGACAGTTGCTTGGCAGTTCTTAGTGTGGGTGGGAGTTGAACCTGCACTTCCAAATCCTTTAGGGTCTGAGACCAACAATGGTGCTCAAACACGGCGCCATTCTTAAAGTCACCTGCCTCAAACGGACGGCTAAGGTCGTCCACTTTCTCGCTTGGCTGCGTCGGATGGGTTTTTGGCGGCGTTTCCTCTGTAGTCTCTACACAGATTTCTTCAACTGCGGGCGGAGCAGTCTCCCCAGAATCCCCAATATCGCTTTCAGCGCTCATAGTTTGTAGCCAGCAGTCAGGATCATAGCGCTGCATGGCGCCATAAAGGATTTGATCCCTCATTCCTTTGGGGAACCCGATTTGGTCTGATGCATCCTTCTTGGTATGATAAAAATCGGTGCTGCAAAATATTTTTATCTTTCCTTATGCTTTCTATTACTGAGGAATATTTATTACTTGCGCCTCAAGAAACCAAATATCGCGTCTAAAAACCCAGTGATTGTTTTGCGCTCCTGCAATATTTCCATAAGAATAGCATCGCTTCGTTGAAAATCCATACTTAATTGCTCTTAATATTTATAAATTGTAAAAGTGTAAACAAATTTGTTGGCTTAACTAGTGCAGACAGTGTTGATAAACGATATCAGGGAAATCGCTGGGAATGGTAAAAACAAAAAAATGAGGAGGTTTCGCGCCTAACTATTTTATTTAAATATTATTTTTAATATCTTCAATTTTTTCAAATGCTGTTTTATTTTTTCGCCTTTTAACAAATTAATTAGCATTGGTCGGCAGTACTCCAAGTGCACATTTGGACCAGGCATTATCTGTAATAGAGTATATTAAAGCAGTGTACATTGCAGTAAAAACTGCTACTTACCCTCTTCGAGCTTCCAAATGCCAAATACAGTTTGAGTTTTATTAGAATTATCTTCTGTGGCAACCACCGTAGAATGATTATCAGTGTTAAGAGGCTTTTCCTCGTCTATATCTTGCATCTTAGCATTACAAACCTTAGTAAAATCGTCAATCTGTTCGTCTGTTAAAGGTGGAACCACGAGAGGCAGCAAACTGAAATATAAGGAAATAAAAACATTTAAAATCTATTTCCAACTAAATAAAAATTCATTTTACCCCTTCACGATGGGTACTGAGTATTTATTCAGTGGACCAAGTCTATTCATTAGAAATTCTCGCTCAAATACCCAAGAGCGAGGCTTCCTTGGACATTCGCCAAAAATCAATGTGAGACTCTGATCCACACCCGAGTGAATAAGCAGACGACGCATAGTTTTTGATATCTCCGATTTGTTAAGAGTTGTAAAATCCACAGCCTTTATATTGGAGTTCTATAAATAAGAAAATGTTGTAGAAATGGCGGCAGTCTATTTCAAATGCTTACCGAATCTAATTCCTCTTTGTACATGCGCTTCATTCGGCACAGCATGCCAAAAGTCTGTAGCATCTTTGTGGCCCAATAACTCGCGCCTCGCCGTCTCTCATCGCATTCAGTTGCATTCTCTGATAATTGCACGAATGCTACAAACATATTCTCTATGTAACCCTGCATGGCCAGCAGTCGGAAGAGGCCCTGGGTAGCCTTAATGACGAGCTCCTCGTTGTCGTTGTGCGCAAGGCCTGCGCCTAGGAAATATTTCATTTTAAGCACACCCGCCATATAAATGTCAATCAAATCTTTCATTGCCGAATTTTGTCTTTTCACAGCTACGCCCAATTCACTGACCACCGTATCAAGTACCTCCTTAGTAATTTTAAGCTTTCTCGTAGAACAATAAACCCGAATTTTGTTGAACTCCGCGCTAGGCTTCAGTTTACTGATCGACTTTAACTTTTGTGCACCGTTCAGTTCGCATTCTAAGGCCAAATCGAACATCTCAAAAAGAGTCCCCACCTCATTCTCAAATTTGACCACATCCTTCCGCTGCAGCTTTGGCGCATCCAGATTACTCAGTCTCTCTTTTTGTGGAAGCCAGTAGTAGGAACGTAGCCAGTCTAAGCAGTGGGCGGCTGTGTGCCGCAATACAAGCACAGGCGGCAGATCCTGTCCATGAGAGCACAAGTGCCTCAAATCCACGATAAAAGACTGCAGGCCAAGCTGCTGAGCCGTGACGTACATGCTAGTCATGTTGTAATTCTGCATAATCGAAGACATAAAGTTGAAGAAGCGCGTGAAGGCGCTTGCATATATTGACTGTATGTTGTCGCTGCCTTCTTTATCGTCCAGCTGCGCCTTGACCAGCACGGCAGTCGCCAGCACGGAAGCCGGACATAGGCTGCCCCGGCGCAAGTTCCATATTCGCATGTGGCTAAGAGCCTTGCGAAGATTTGCAGGTGATGACTGCTTTCCAAATAACCAGTCGAATACAGAGCTAAACTCTGTGCTAAAAATGAAAACAGTTTAGATTTTAGGGAACCTTTTTAGAGCCAATCACCATGTGTTTACGCACGTGTCACGCCAAGGTGTGACAACCATTCTCTGTTTAGCAGGCGGAGGTGTTGTTGTTGCAGGCAGAGGACCCTCGGCATGTTTTCTTTTCGCATTCGGCTCTTTTTCTTTGGCGGCGACCATGATTTAGTTATAAATTCAATTTTTATGACGCGCGTCCAAACACTTGTGGAATGTGGCTGTCAGTGTTAAGTACAAAAACACCCTTGAATGTTACTATCGATATCGCACATTCAATTCAAAATACATAGATAGTATATCCCAAATTTATGATTGTCTAAGTAAGGTCATTTAGATGAACGTTTTATTTTTTTAGTTAAAATTAGGTTTGTAAAGTGAATGTTAAACAAACATGCAAATATTTGCAATGTGTCCATCTCTAGCAGTGTACATCGTTCATCTCTAACGTGTGCAAAGTTCAGTGTTGCAAGGCGCGAAAAAAGGTACACAACAAGAGCGACGAATTTTTCTTGTGATTAAAATACATTTAAAATTTGCATTTTATATTGCAATCGTAGATAAATATGAAATTCTTTATATAATTCCAGTGAATGCCAAATACAGCTACTAGAAGGCATAGCACAAAAAATAAAACGTTTTTCCCGCCCGTACAACACGCGCCTTTTTTCTACCTACGTCTACCTGCTGCATTTACTCCACACATGCATATCGTCTACAATAACAACTATAACAATAACAACTTGGTGGATATTTTTAACAGTGAATATGTGGATGGGCCGCTGACGTCCAAGAGAATGATAATTGGCTCGTTTTCAATGTTTCTGATATTTTCATACCTTAAGCTGCTGTACATACTCGTGGCAATCTATTTGGCGCTGCACCACGTCCACATATAAATAGGTCGAAAAAGGGGCAAATGTATCACTTTGTCTCAGAGCGAACAGCGGAAGTACGCGTCTCCGAGAACGTGCTGATTCCCAGCAAGACGACGCAGTACTTAAAGAGCTTTCAACTCGAAGCAGTGCGTTTTCTCTATAAACGGCTGTCCCAACAAGAGTTTTGCATTTTGAATGATGAGAGCGGTTTGGGCAAAACAGCGTCTGTTGTGGCCCTGTTAAGTGGACTGGGAACGGCCAAGAAGACGCTAGTTGTGTTGCAAAACGATGAGCAGTTGCTGGCTGGCTGGCAGTTTCACCTGGGAGTGCTCACTGATTTGTCCGTATGCGTTATTAAGGACGTTAATGGTATTTATGGTTTATTTATTATATATATGTAAATATTAAATTATTGATTCACGTCTATTTTATAGACACCACAGAGTCGGCGCATAGCGTTTATCTGAGCAAGTGGAGTGTATTACGCAGCATAGGCGATCTCAGCAAGCTGAATTTTGACTATATCATTGTAGATCATCGCGGATACACATTAAATAATAACTTTTGCACCTCCATGCTGCTGAAGCAGTTCGAAGGCAAAGTGAACATTGTGATCTCTAGTGTGGACATAACGGTAATAGCATTATATATATAAAAATATGAAAGTCTAAGCATAAGAACTTGATCCTTTTTCCAGTCCGACGTTAAGTTGCTGTATAAGGTGATGCAATTGGGAGGCTGTTTGGATCATCAATTCAATAGCTTTAGAAGTTTCGAGAGCAAGTTTCGTCTACCAGATGTTCAGGAGGTGCTAAGCAAGCGTGTCGATCTCGAGGAGTACTATAAGCAGCGGGGTATCCTCGGCGAATACATCAAGTTGGTGAACCTCAGCAGTAAATTTAAACTCATTTACTAATATCTCAATAATAATTTTATAAACATTTTTATTTATACTTGCAGGGATTATCGTCTTCGTCGCTACCGCCATCAGTTCGATTCATGCCTGCCTCTTGTCACGGCCGAGCAATACAAGAGGAACGTCTCTCTGTGGCTGGGCGAGAACAATAGTAACAGCACAATAAGTGACTCAACTGGAGGTTCAAAAACATCAGAAGTTCCTTCCACAGGCGACACCGAAGAAATCTTTGGGTGTCTATTAAGCCTTCAACAGGAGCGACATTTGGCGGAACGCCAAGAGCCAGATAAAATATCGCTTTCTGAGCAGAGTGATGACGTGATTGCCATGGAGCCTTTGATTTTGGAGTCCGAATCAGAACCTGAGGTTGAAGCGGATGCCCATGCGAACAAGTGCAGCACTAATGTGGTATTGCTTTCCAGCGATGATTGCGAAATTATTGAGTCGTCAAAATCGGCGCCAATGACATCGAACTCGCCAGCCAAACGAAAATACACGAAACGTGTACAAGCTCCAAAGTCAGTGGAGCTGACTGAATCGGAAACGGAAGAGCCGCCTAATACATCGACGATAACAAGGAAAGTACTTAACGTGAGGCTAAGACGAGCTTCCATACAGATCGACCCCACAAACTCTGCAAAGGCGTCGGAGCTGCCGACGAAAGCTGTCAAGGCTTCACCTAAGAAATCACCCAATTCTCCGCGTAAGCCGAAGTTACCTATAAAACCCGAGCCGAAAACTCCGAAACGTGACACATTGTTGCCAGTTACGCCTAAAACTGAGCCAAGGTCAGGACGCTCTAATGGAAATAAAAACGTTGACGTGGAACCCAGACAGACGCGTGGAATGCAAAGATTAACGCGTTCGGCGGAGTCACGGTCGAACAGCAAGTACATGACGCAGCTGAAGGCCCTGGACTATGAGAAGAAAGGGACACCCAGAAGAAAACGTAATTCCAGCACTAATCAAACGCCCAAAAGTAGCAAGGTCAAAGAGGAGAAGGCTACTGTGAAGCAAGAGATTGCTGTCACGCCTAGGACATCAAAGACAACGCCAATGAAAATGAACCAAAAGGAACCAGAACCCAAAAGGACAACGAGGAGCCGAGCGGAAAAGGAACATTTTTCCAATAAGCTGACCTCCTTGCCTGTTAATAAAAGAGTCGAAAAGGTCAGTTCTAAAACGATTAAGGCTCCGACCGCTGCCACCTTGAAGCCATCGGAATCTGTTCCGAATAACGAAAGAAAGGGCAAGGCCAGTCCAAAAGTTGTAACAGCTTCATCAGTTACGCCCGATCTACCGAATTCTCCTCTTGGCAGTCAAAAAAATGGAAAGGCCAGCTCGAAGCCCGTGACAGCTGCTCCCGCTGCAACACCTGAGATACTAAGCTCTGGTTCCATTTTGTCTGATAACTCGTATTTGCAATGCGCACAAAAGCTCCCAGAGAACCTCGCAGAACTTGAGGCTTTGGAACTGCCCGAGTTTCGGGTGCCGCACGCACCGCCGACAACTCAGCTGCTGTTGCCCGTGAACCTGAATCTGTTTAGTGGCTCCGAGGTGGCTGTCGTGCCTAGTCCAAACCCAAAGCCAGATGTCGTGGTGATCAATAGTTCCCATGATGAGAGCTCGCAGCCCACGACTAAGCCATCGCAATCCCGGCGCACTCGAGCATTGAAGAGGAAGTCTGTAGCTCCTGCCAAGGAACAACAGTCCCAGCCGACCACCTCCCGATTCGGCCTCATGCTGGCTCAGCACCGCGGCTCGGTGAACAAATCCCCAGACATCTTCAGCAACTGCTCGGAAACGTCGCAAGTTTCGCTAGCGCAGCCGGTGCCATTTGAGGGCTTCAAGATATTCGGTTCGGAGGTGAGGCAGTCGCATCAGCAGCTGCATGACAAAACAGGTGTAGGCATGCCGGCTAAAAGGAAGCGCGAACGCTCCTGCCTGGAACTTTTGGAGAAAATGTTTGAGCCCCATCAGGCTAATCATAACGAGCCGGGCGTTCAATTGCTGCCGGATCTGCCCAGTCCCAAGCAGCAGCTGCCACAGCGTCGGTTCACCTTGCTGGACGACGACATCTTCGAGATAACCAATAATGGGGAATTCGGCAGTCGCCTGCGAGTTGACTCCACAGGCAACGTGTCGCCCGTGCAGACACAGCAGCTGGCACAGCGTAACAAAATCACAAACTATCTGATCAGCTCTGGTGGCGCTCCGGAGGATACTGGCCAGCGTACCCAATCCAACCAATTGCTGCGCAAGTCACCCAAACCGGTCAAGTCCACGCAATCTACAAAGCTGACGCGCTGGTTTGGCACGGCCATCTCAGGCGGATCCCAGAGCGCCCCTAGCACACCTGTGTTGCCTACCGAGGCAGCAGACCGCGCCCGATTGGCGCGCAGCGCGGGATCGAAGAAACGCAAGCGACTAGTGCTGGACAAGTGACTCGATATCGATATCAAGTTGACGACGTGATCTATTCAAAAGACTCGAGAGACTCAAGACTATGTAGCGAGTCGAGCTAAGAAAATTTGCCAAAACTCTTATCAAAATCTAAGTCCCATTGTCTAACAACCCAACCAGACTTTACTTATCAATTTTTTTTCTTTCTTATAAATTTTAATTCTTTTTTTATTAAATTTTTTTATGGCTTATAGCATGTACCTCAAGCTAGGAGTTTAGAGAATCTAATACAAAGATCTTTCACTGCAGAATTTCAATTGTGATGTCTATTCACAGATCGATGAATTATTTATAAAACAAAAAATATATATATACACATATATATTTGTATATTTTATGGAGGCAAGCATTTCAATTTGTAAAGAATATTCTATACTATGCCTGAATTTTCGATTTAGTATACATTGGAATCATGTATTTTAATTGTTTTGTTATAATTGAACAAATACTTAGCAACAATTCCTGTTTGTTAATTTAGTTGAGTTGCACATTCAATACAATGTAATTTTAAAACTTTTTAGATGTGAAAATACAAAGAAATAGAGCAAAAGAATGAATAGAATGGAATACGAGACTTTCATTATTGCAGGCGCTAACCTGGGACTAAGCCCGCTTGAATATTTGAGTCAGATTGTGCATCACAGCGCGGCGCTGGAACTCGAGCTCGCGGCGACAGGCGGTGCCCAGGAACGGCGGGCACTGATATTGGATCTTCTCATTGGCATATGTGCCCGCTCCTATTGAGCTGAAACTGAATTCGCTGCGCGAGAGCACTGAAAAAAAAAATAAGTGGAATGAAAAGCAAACGCAATTCATGAGAAACGTGCAAGCATGTGCTTGGACTGCTCGATCACTTACAGCAGTAGTGGCCGCCGAGGAAGCAGGTCTCGTGTGTCGATTGGATGGAC